TGGCTGGTCTCTGCTTCCAGTTCACAGACTGTAGCCGCTGCTCCACCCGGCACAAGGAAGTGGCCGGGAACCTGAGGGACGTGGTTTATACCTACCACCAGTTTGTGGAAGCCGCAAAACTAACCTGTGAGAGAGGCTACCATGACCTCAGTGTGAAACTCTTGGCTCGCCAATGCACGGCCCTGACAGCTGCTGTATTCTGTTTGACCCAGAAGTTCCGGGCATCCACTGCTATGTGAACAAGTCACCTACCCCAGGCCCCTTTACCCTGCCTGGAAAGTCCTCCAAGAAGCCTCTTCTAGTTCTCCACCCACCCCCTTCAAATGTTTACTATGTAGAGTATTTGAATAAACTGCTGCTTAATCTTAGCTTGTCGTGTTCTGAGTGGTGGTAAATTTGGTTAAAAATGTTCACTCAAGCCGGGCGATGGTGGCACATGCCTTTAATCACTAGGGAGGCAGAGGCAGGCGGATCTCTGTGAGTTCGAGACCAGCCTGGTCTACAGAGCTAGTTCCAGGACAGGCTCCAAAGCCACAGAGAAACCCTGTCTCAAAAAAACAAAAAAACAAAAAAAAAATGTTCACTCAAGCCAGACAGTGGTGGTGCACGCCTCTAAGCCCAGCACTCAGGAGGTAGAGACTGGTGGATCTCTGTGGGTTTGAGACCAGTCTGGTCTACAGAGTGAGTTCCAGCACAGCCAGGGATATACACAGAGAAACCCTGTCTCAAAATCAAACAGAAAACGTTCACTCATATCCATTCAACAGACATTCGCTTCCTTTGCACCGGGCCTGTACTAGGAACCTGAGAAACAGCAGGCTGTATGACACAAGGCTTTTCCTCCCTGATCAGAATGTGCAGGTATATAGGAAAGTAGATGGCCATCCAACCAGCAGGCATCAGGCAAAAAGAAGTCTCAGATTTTGTTCCAAGAACTCAGGAATTGCCAAAAAAAATAGTCTTTTTTTTTTCTTAAATATTTATTTATTTATTATGTATACAGTATTCTGTCTGCATGTATGCTTGCAGGCCAGAAGAGGGCACCAGACCTCACTACAGATGGTTGTGAGCCACCATGTGGTTGCTGGGAATTGAACTCAGGACCTTTGGAAGAGCAGGCAATGCTCTTAACCACTGAGCCATCCCTCCAGCCCCCCAAAAAATAGTCTTGATTCCCCTGTTACTTCATTGTGGCACTACCCTCTGTAAACAGGTGGATACGTGTGTTCTTGGTAGATTCAACCCTCCAAATCTGGAGTTACAGCACCTGGACCAGAGACCCGATAGTTTTTCTTGCTTGCCTCTTTGCTGCAAGCATAGATTGCCACCAGCCTGCAGTAAATTCCCTAGCTGCTCTGTCACCCACGTGCAGGGGTAGTCTCTGCTTTTTCTGAAACTGTACCCCTGACTATTGCATTCTGTTTTTGTTTTTAATATTATAAGGCAAACATTAAATTTAGGAATCGGGGAACCGGAGAGATTGCTCAGCAGTTAAGAGCATTGTCTGCTCTTCCAAAGGTCCTGAGTTCAATTCCCAGCAACCACATGGTGGCTCACAGCCATCAGTAATAGGTCTGGTGCCCTCTTCTGGCCTGCAAGGATACACACAGAATATTGTATATATAATTAATAAATAAATAAATAAATAAATATTTTAAAAATAGGCTTAAAAAATAAATAAATAAATTTAGGAATCAAAGTTGTCATTATTGAACTAATATTAGGGCAGAAGAAATATAGTCAGTACTTTTCCCCCTGGCCTCTGCTGGCCAAGGTAATCCTACATGGACATGGACAAGCTGCTCAAACTCTTCTTGTTTTGGGTTTTCTCTCCTGTACATGAGGAGGCTCATATTGTCCCCTTGATAGGGCAGAAATCTAGGAAGCAATATAGTAGATTGTAAGTATTGCTAACAGAGTGGTCCGTGTTTCTCTTAGTCTGAAAGTTGTACCCCCAACTCACTCAACGCCCCCCCCCACACACACACTGTTTTCCCAACCCAGACAAACCCATTTCAAGATTTCTTTCTTTTTCTTTTTTTCTTTTTTTTTTTTTTTTTTTTTTTTTTTTTTGGCTTTTCGAGACAGGGTTTCTCTGTATCTTTGGTGCCTGTCCCGGAACTAGCTCTTGTAGACCAGGCTGGCCTTGAACTCCCAGAGATCCTCCTGCCTCTGCCTCCCGAGTGCTGGGATTAAAGGTGTGCACCACCACCACCCGACCCATTTCAAGATTTCTTTGGGAAAACTTTTGATCTGGCTTTTCTTGTCTAGTCAAATGTGGTTTGGTGGCTCATGTTGGTCCTTCGGAGGTCATCAAAGAGGTCCTCTTTCCCTCCTGTTACCGACACACTGTGAGGTCAATGCTCTACCCCTATTAGGCACCTGATTCCTGGCTTTGCCCAGCAGAAGCAGGATGAGGGATGAGTCGGTCACCTGTAATTAGTTAATCAGCGTGTGTGGGGGAGAGGATTCGTTTCCTTAGAATGATGCTTTAAATTTTTTGTTTGTTTGTTTTGTTTTTTTGAGTCAGGGTTTCTTTGTAGCTTTGGAGCCTGTCCTGGAACTAGCTCTTGTAGATCAGGCTGGCCTCGAACTCACAGAGATCCACCTGCCTCTGCCTCCCGTGTTGGAATTAAAGGCCTGTGCCGCCACTGCCCAGCTAAACTTTAAACTATTGAAAACAACTTTGAAGTGATTTCATGACTGAAAAGTAACAGGGCACCAGGCTAGAAAACAAGTTGCATGATGTGAAACATCGGAACCTTTGCTAAGAAGATCAAAATAGGTTGTTTCTGTGGACAGGATCTGCACACTGGCCAGTGAATTCACCTGGGACTGGATCCTGACTGACCTGAACCATATTTGAGTCCAATTAGCTAGAACCTACACTATGCCAGAAGCTTTATGTGGAAAGTTTGAATACCCATTAAAATATGGCATTCTACATTGTTACACGTGTTTAACAGTTCCATGAGAAACAGATACGGAAAGGAGGAAGATCAAGACTACAGCTGAGGCACGTGTCTCCACCTTTCTTTGGTTGCTCTTCTTTTTCCCTGTGCATCCCATGAGGAAGAGTAAGGTCCAGAAGTGGTGGGAAGCTCTCGGTGCTCATTGAGAAGCCACAGTGCAGGGAAGGCATTCTCTCTGGCACTGTCTTTGATACACTCCATACATGAGGCAGGCGAGACAAGAACTGGATTTTAAGAGTTCTTGATGAAGGCTGGATGACTCCTAGACCCCGGCAAGGCTTCGGGTCACCGAAGAGAAGGCACGTGAGACATGGAAAGGGAAGGAATCTTTGGAGACAGGAGTCGTCAGGGAAGCCTCTCTGTAAGAGCAGTACTAGTTAGGACTGGAGTGTCAGCAGGAATTTGTTGAGTACCATGTGTCAGGCCTTGAGATTCTGTAGGGTTTAGATGTCAAGAAAGAAAAAATAATTCTGTTAGAGTCTACTATGCAGGGATAGCAGGTAAAACACTCATGAGCACAGTGAATATGGGCTCCTCTTTTTTGTCATTTTATTTATTATCATTATTTTGGTTTCACTATGTAGCTTTGGCTGTCCTGGAATTCACTATGTAGATATGTAGACCAGGCTGGCCTCAAACTTTAGAGATCCACCTGTCTCTGCTTCCCCAAGTGCTGAGATTAAAAGCAAGCGCCACCACACCTGGCTCTCAAGGAACTTCTAATTAGCAGGAAAGACAAAATTGCTGACAGGGAGTAGACTTTTTATAAAGGTGCCAGAACAGATGAGATGAGCCAGTCTTACCCAGTGTGACCGGAAGGCTGTTCTGAATGGAGACAGTTAAGTGGAGACTTAGCGAGCAAGAACCAGGGACCGGAGAGATGGCTCGGGGGTTAAGAGCATTTGCTGTTCTTGCAGAGGAGCTGGGTTCCATTCCCAGCATCCACATCAGGTAGCTCACAACAATCAGTTCTTGGGGATTGGTCACCCTCTTCTGACCACCATGGGCACTTGCATGGCACACAGAATAACAAGCACACATAGTCACGTAAGTAAAAACAAAATTTTTAATGATCATCTTTAAAACCCAGCTGTGGGGGGCTGGAGAGATGGCTCAGAGATTAAGAGCACTGGCAGCTCTTCCTGAGGTCAGGAATCCAACTCCCAGCAAGCACACGGTGGCTCACAACCGTCTGTAATGAGATCTGGTGCCCTCTTCTGTCCTGTAGGGATACATGCAGGCAGAACACATACAAATTTGTTTAAATAAATCTTAAAAAAAAAAAAAAGCACTAGGCATAGTGGATCACAACTAGAATCCAGCGCTTGTAAGATTGAGGCAGGAGGACAGTGGATTTGAGGTCAATTTGGGTTACATGATAGGCTTGCTTCTCTCACCCACGTGGCGGCTCATAACTCTCTGTAACTCCAGTTCTGACGTTCCTAAGTACCAGGCACTCAAGAGGAGCACGTACATATGGAGGCAAAGCACCCATACACATAAGCAAAAATAAATCTTAGAAAAGACAAGGAAAGGTCGTTTCGCCAGTTTCTGGCTTGGTACGTGAAAGGTGATACATAGGGATGTAGCCGCCACTAGACTCTTGCCTGTTAAATCTTGTTTGGGTTTTGAACTTGGACAGTCTGGTGGCAGAGGGAGCTGTGTACTCGGGAAGGCGCTGTGTTAGCTCATTGGCCTTTTTGGTTGAGGGGAAATTCAGGAAACCATAAGGGCCCCATACTGACAGAAGACAAGGCAGGTGGTTTAATGCTTGGTTCGGCCCAGTTTTGCAGTGTCCAGCTAGCCAGAAAGCGACTGGTCACCTGTTTGAGCTGCGTAAGGTCTGCGAGGAGCTCAAATTGCCACCCTCAACTAATTTACGGGTGCCCATAATACAGATGCCCAGCTAGCCTACTGGCATCCTCTATAGAGTTGCCGGATTGAAAACTATAACTCCCAGAATGCCACTCGAAACTGAGCAGGATCCGGAAATAGTTCGGGGGCGGGACCAATTGTTTTTGGTCCACACTAAGCAAAGGGTGGTCGTCAGGTACGTGGGTGGCAAGGGCGGGGAGACGGCACCGGTTTTGAAGATTGGCTAGAGACTACTGGGTCCCAGCCTGAAGCCGCGGCACCTACAGTCCTGGAGTTTCTGGGGCTTGCCTCCCCTCGTTCGCAGCCTACGGGCCAGCGGGACCCGCGTTCCCTGCGGCCTGTGGTCCAGGTAGGTGTTCTAGTGCTGAAGGTTAGCTTTGGGGCCCTACTACCCAGAATGAGAAAATGGGAGACCTGTGCACGCTGAGGATGATTGGACACTTAGCGTGGGCGTTTGTACGCATCCGGTGGCACTTGGACTATGAAAGGTCTGAGGCGGGGATGGCGGAGTTAATGCAAAAAGTATTGAGTGCCTGGGTAAACATTTACTTATAAGGGTGTGGGAAAATCAGACAAAAATAAGTAAGTGGGTAGTGTTGGATAGTGAAAATATGTGTGAGCTGAGGACGTGTGAGATTAAGGAAAGAGCATCGTGGGCAGAGAACAGTTTATGCAGGGACATCGGGATATTTAGTCTGTTTGGGGAATAGGTAGATCAGAGAGAGCTAAAGAAAATTGATGGAGTTGGAGCTAGCAGGAAAGATGGCTCTCGTAGAGGGTCCGAGTTTGGTTCTCAGCATCCATATTGTGATTGCCAATAAACCAGCTCCAGGGCATCTGATGTCTCACTCACGTGCACATGGATACATGGTTTTTGTTTTATTTTTTTTAAATATTTATTTATTATGTATACAATATTCTGTCTGTGTGTATGCCTGCAGGCCAGAAGAGGGCACCAGACCCCATTACAGATGGTTTGAGCCACCATGTGGTTGCTGGGAATTGAACTCAGGACCTTTGGAAGAGCAGGCAGTGCTCTTAACCTCAGAGCCATCTCTCCAGCCCAATACATGATTTTTTTAAAAATGAAATAAAATTTTAGGCCTTTAGCCCCAGCACTTGAAAGGCGAGGCGGATCTGTGAGTTTGAGGCCAGCCTGGGCTTCTTAGTGAGACCCTATTAATGAATCAAATCAAATAAAATAAATAAATGGATCCTTTTAGGAGAAGGAAAATTGATAGAAGGGATAGGCTGCAATGATCTGTGTAGATACTGGGCTACTGTAAGTGAACTGGAAATGCTGCAGATTCTAGGCAGAAGGGCGGGATAATTTTCAAATGTTTAGATACTCATCTATCTATCTGCTGCTATTTATGAATATATATATATATTATGATATACATATATATCATGAATTTATTTACTTATTTTGAGACAGGGTCTCGGGTAGTCCAAACTAGCCTCAGACTTTACGTGTTGCCAAGGATGACCTTGAACTTTTGATCCTCTTGTTTTCTACCCTCCTAGTGCTAGTGTCACCGTGGTTAGCAGTACCACGGATTATTCAAGACAGGGTTTCTCCGTAGTTTTTTTTTTTTTTTTTTTTTTTTGGTTCCTGTCCTGTAACTAGCTCTTGTAGACCAGGCTGGCCTCAAACTCACAGAGATCCACCTGCCTCTGCCTCCCGATTGCTGGGATTAAAGGCGTGCGCCACCACCGCCCGGCTGGATCTGGGGCTTTTTGCATGGTAGGCAAGCACTCTACTGTGTTACTTTCAGCCTTTTCTGTCCTGGAACATGCTCTGTGGACCAGCCTGGCCTCAAACTCAGAGAGATTCACCAGTCTCTGCCTCCTGAGAATTAGAGGCGTGTACCACCTCTGCCCAGTTTTGGGGTGCAGAGGTAAATGTTTGAGCTCTTTCCCTGGAAGGATTTATGGTAGAGTAGGAAAAAGGAGAACAGCCAGTTTGAGTTGAACTCAAAGCAGTCAAAAATTGGAACCTCATAAAGGTGGAATAAATGTCACTGCCAAATTCCCCAGATACACCATTGTGTCAAGTACTTAGCAGCCCTGTTGAATGACTAAGGCTCAGAAAGTTTTTTTAGACTAAGGGGTGAAATGCCAAATCTGGGCATAGATAATGACTTGTTCAGGTTCATCAGATCTGTGTGGTTTTATAAGATTACTTTTAATTGTGCGTGTATGTGTGCTCATACATGCACACACAAGTGTATGTGGGTGCAGTTGCCATCAGAGTCTAGGAAAGGGCATCTGATCCCCTAGAGAGCAATAGGCAGTGAGCCACCTGATATGGGTGCTGCTAATAGAACTCGGGTCCTCTTTAGAGCAGCAGGTGTATGTGTTTTGATGCTCAGCTGCACCTTTGTCTTTTGAGGACTCTTAGATGATAACCTCTTTCAGCACCTACTGAATTTCCATTGTGTGCCAGGATTTATGCCATCCACCAAAGGTGTGAAACTCAAGCTCCTTTAGGAGTGTGCAGGCAGATACAATATAGACTCAGGGTACTGGTTGGTGTTGTCTTTATTGGATTCCCTCATATAAAAAGCATCTTCTTCAGGGACTACAGAATTTAGGAAGGCGCAAGGAACAAAAAACAGAAAAGAAAGTAGTTAAGTTCAACAAATGCCAAATATTGCTGATCGCAAGGTCTTTGTTTAGGATTTATTTATTTGTATTTTATGTGTACAACTGTTTTTCTTTCATGTGTGTGAACTTTGACTCCTTTGGAGGCCAGAGATGGCATTGGATCCCTGGAACTGAAGGTAGAGAGGGTTATGAACCGGTATGTGGGTGCTGGGAACTAAACCCAGGTCCCCTGTGAAAGCCAGTGACTCAGTTGCTGAACTGCTCTTCAGCCTTGTTTGCAAAGTCTCTCAAAGGAATTCAGTTTGGCGGGAAAGTATCAACCCTGGCTTTCGAGCTTTTTAAGCAGCAATCATGGAAAATTCTAGAGCCCCTCAAAATTCTCCTATCTCTTTTTCCTTCTCAGCCAGACTTCCAAAGAGACATTAGAACAATTCGTTCCCTAACAGGGCCTTTATTTTTTTTGTGTGTGTGTGTATAATGTGCTGGTGTGTATGTCACGTCACATGTGTGGAGGTCAGAGGACAGCTTGGTGGAGTCAGTTCCTTTCTTCCACATCTACATGAGTTCCAGGGGTTAAACTCAGGTCTTCCTGCCAAATCAGCTCATACGACTCCTGTGGCTAGAACTTTTTTACCCCTGAGCCATAGGTCCCCTTACAATTCTTTTGACTTTTTTTTGCTCATTTTAATAAGGTGAGATTATGGCCAGGCGGTGGTGGTGCACACCTCTAATCCCAGCACTCGGGGAAGCAGAGGCAGGTAGATCTCTGTGAGTTCAAGGCCAGCCTGGTATCAGAGCGAGTTCCAGGACAGGCTCCAAAAAGAAACAGAGAAACCCTGTCTCAGAAAACAAAAAAACAAACAAAAAAACCAAAAGTGATGTGGATGATTAGTTTGTGTGAACGTCTAAGAGAAGTGCTATCACACAGGTTTAGACGTTTTTGGTTTGAAAAGATTTATAGTCAACATTGCTTTCCATACATGAAAAGAACGGTGCTTCTAGAATCCTTACAGAATGTGTTGTTTTCCTCATTTCTCTGGAAGAATTCTATATTTTATTTAATTTTGTATATGCTGTTAACTTTCTGATATACTCTGTAAATAAATACATTTCAAACTTAACCTGCATCTGGTAGCTTTGACCTGAACTTCTAGCTACACAGGAGCCTGAGACTGGAGGATTACTGTTTTGAGGCCTGCTTGGAGTACAGAGTGAATTGAAGGCTTCACAGTGAGACCCTGTCTCAAAATAAAAAGTAAAAAGAGAACTGGGGATCTAACTCGGTGGTAGAGTGCTTGTCTAGCACATGCAAAGCTCTGGATTCTATCCTTAGTAACACAGAAAGAAGGGAGGAGGACTCTTAAATAGAGCTAGAGATTTCGATTATTTGGCTCTTTACTGCTGACCGTTTGCTGAATTACCTCTCTGGAATACTCAGCGGCATGCTTTCCTTAGTTCGGTCTGTCTGGACCAGTACTGCTCACCACTAACACAGTAACGCTATTTCTCGTTTGGCTGTAGGGTTAGCTGTGTGAGTGGCATGAGCGCATGGACTGTAAGTTAGAAGAAAGTGCTCAGGAAGCAGAGTCACCGGGGGTGCAGGGACCAGACGGTTCCCAAGAGGATGGAGGTGAAGATGGACTGTCTGAGATCTTCCGACTGCTGCAGATGGATGTGGAACACAAGCACCGAGAGGAAGAGGCACGCCCTGCAAACAGCACAGCATGGGGCTCGGTGAGCTTGCGTGACCCGGCTCTAAGGGTCGATCAGCAGATGAAAGGAGATGAGAATGAATTTTGTGTGTTCTAAGTGTTGAATCCATCCCTGCTGGGTTGATTAAGGTTTTGTTTTCATTTGAGTCTTAAGAATGCAAATAGAAATTCAAAAGAAATTTTGATCTGCCTCTAAAAGGGTCAGGGACTCCCAACTCTGGAGTTTTCTCTAACCTGGAAGAGTCACTGTTATGATGCTGGGGTGAGGTAATGTTCTCTCTAATTGTAATTATTTAGTTCAGGTGTTGTTGCCTTGTATGGCCCCCGAGTCAGATCCCAAGCAATGCATACAATAATAATAACTCAGCACTGTGTATAGTGAATATTCGCCAATGGAAATAAAATAGCAAAGAAATCATAAAATTAAAAATAAACACAAGCCAGTAGGGTTGTTTTTAAGACAAAAATACTTTTTCCTCTCTAACTTTATATATAAATGAAGAAAGGTAACTAATGTCCATTTTCCTTTCTGATTCTTACGGAGTTCTCAAATAATTTTGTTTTCTGGATAATGGAAGAAAAATGTGCAGAGAAAACAGAGACACTGGGAAAGGATAGTCTCCTCGAAGAAGAGCAAAAGGAAGCAGGAAAAAGAAAGAAGAAAAGTCAAGCGTGCAGAAGACCCAGGTTATGATAACTGCAATCGTATAATTTATAACTTATAAATTGTAAAATTACAAAATATAGTAAGATAAAACAAAAACTATTACATTGTAGTAGTAGTTTGGCAAAAACAAACAGAAGGAAAGGAGCCCGAGAGAAGGCGCAATAGTCAAACACCCACTCAGGAATCCCATAAAAACACTAAACTGGAAGATATATGCTCAGAGGAACTGGTGCAGATCCATGCAGGCCCTGTGCAAGCTGCCTCAGTCTCTTTGAGTTCACTGATGTGAGCTGTCATCATGCTGATTTACAGGGCCTTGTTTTGGTAGGGTCCTCCATTCCCTCTGGCTCTTAGCTCTCCCAGCCTCCTCTTCCCTGGGACTCCTGAGTCCTGAGGGGAGAGATTTGATAGAGACATCCCCTTAGGGTGAGTGCTCCAAAGTCTCTTACTCTGCATTGTCTGGCTGTGGGTCTCTATATTTGTCCCCTATTGTCTGCTGCAGGAGGAAGCCTCTCTGGTGATGGCTGAGCAAGACACTGATCTGAGTACAGCAGAGTGTCATTAGGAGTCATTTTATTGCTGTGTTTTTGTTTATGTGGGGGGTTTTTTGGTTGTTGTATTTTTCATTTGTTTGTTTTAGTTCACTAGTACTTGGTTTTCCCCTAGGTCCCTGAGCTATCTAGTCTCCGGTTCTTGGCCATCCAAGCAGTGTCAGTATGGGCTCCATCTTGTGGAATGGGCCTTTAGTCAGACATTGGTTGGTTACTCCCACAAGCTTTGTGCCATCATTGCCCCAGCATATTTTGCAGTCAGGACACCATTGTATATCAAAGGGTTTGTGGCTGTCTTTGTGTTTACATTTCTCTTTTGCTAGCATACAGAGTACCTTCCTGTACCAAAGACAAGTGAAGGGTGAAGGCTCTAGTTAGGCCACCAGCTCAGCTTCTCCATGTTCATTGTGTTGTGTAGGTGTTGTCTGCAGCAATGGGGCCTTGCTGTCAGTTTGTGGTGAACAACTTATAGTCTTGGCAACAGACTGGTGTAGCAGGCTTTCTTGTCGGACTATCTTTGGATCCCTAGCCTGCAAATACTGACCTGGAGACTCATTATTAATTATGAGAGCTTGGCTTTTAACTTAGGCTTGTCTCAACTCTTTTTTGTTTATGTTTTTTTGGTTTGTTTATTTGTGGGTGTTTTTTTTTTTTTTTTGGTTTCTTGAGACAGGGTTTCTCCATAGCTTTTTATTTATTTATTTATTCATTCATTCATTCATTCACACATTCATTATGTATACAATGGTCTGTCTATATGTGTCCCTGCAGACAGAAGTTGGCACCAGATCTTATTACCAGTGGTTGTGAGCCACCATATAGTTGCTGGGAATTGAACTCACGACCTCTGGAAGAGCAGTCAATGCTCTTAACCACTGAGTCATCTCTCCAGCCCTGCCTTTTTGGAACCTGTCCTGGAACTAGCTCTTGTAGACTAGGCTGGCCTTGAACTCACAGAGATCCACCTGCCTCCGCCTCCTAAGTGCTGGGATTAAAGGCGTGTGCCACCACCACCCTGTACTCAACTAGCTCTCATAACTTAAATTAACCCATTTATATTAATCTACGTTCTATCACGTGGTAACATCTCTCTTCCATTTTGCACCTCCTGTTTCCTCTCAGTCTTTTAATGACTCCGCCTTTCTTCTTCCCAGAGTTCCCTCTCTGCCCAGAAGTCCTGCCTAGCATTAGCTGTTCAACTTTTTATTATGCCAGTCACAGCCACACATCACACAGTAGAAATATTCCCTAGCAGCCTAGGTTGTTTGCGGATTCCCCATGGGGCCCCTTTGACCAACAACTCAATGAGATATAACCTAATCCCAGTTCTGGAAGATTCTTTGGTAATAAGAGATGACTAGCTGAGACTGTCTCCTTTTTTGTTTGTTTTTTATTGTTTTTGTTTTGTTTTTTTGAGACTGGGTTTCTCTGTAGCCTTGGAGCCTGTCCTAGAACTCACACTATAGACCAAACTGGCCTCAAACTCACAGAGATTCACTGCCTCTGCCTTCTTCGAGTGCTGGGATTAAAGGCATGCACCACTACCGCCTGACTCTGTCTCCAATTATTTAGATCACCTTCATATACGTATATATTTTAGGAAGCTTCTATTATATTAGGTTTCCATGCTACCCCTCAAATGGTCCTTAATTTCAGGTGTCTCTCCCTGTATTCCCCCTTCCATATCCCTCTCTCCTTCCTCTCCCTACTTGATCCTCCTGTTCCAGGCCCTCCATCCATCCGTCCATCCATCTGACCATCCATCCATAGCTATCTATTCTATTTTCTTTTCCTATGGAAATCTGTCTCCCTCTAGTCCCTTACTCCATACCCAACCTTTGTGGTCCAAAGATTGTAGCTTGGTTATCATTGACTTAACAGCTAATATCTACATATAAGCAAATGCATAACATATTTGTCTTTCTGAGTCTGGGATACTTTGCTCAGGATGGTTTTTTTCTGGTTCCATCCATTTACCTGCAAATTTCATGATGTCAGTTTTTTAACTACTGAGTAATACTCCATTGTATAAATGTATCACATTTCCTTTTTCTATTCTTCTGTTGTGAGACATCCAGGTTGTTTCCATTTCTAGCTATTATGAACTAAGCAGCAATAAACATGGTTGAGCAAGTGTCTCTGTAGATGAAGCACTCTTTCCTTGAGTGGTATAGCTAGATCTTGGGGTAGATTTTCATATTCCCGAGGAACCATCACACTGGTTTCCATAGTGATTGTACAAGTTAGCACTCCCACCAGCAATGGATGAGTGTTCCCTTTGCTCCATGTCCTCGCCAGTTTGAGCTATCACTTGTTCTGTTTATTTATGTTAGCCATTCTGATGGTGACATCTCCAAGTAGTTTTAGTTTGCATTTCTCTGATGCTAAGGATGTTGAACATTTGTTTCTCAGCCATTTGAGTTTCCTCTTTTGAGTATTCTGTTTAAATCTATATCCCATTTTTTAATTGGGTTATTTGGTTTCTTGATACCTAGCTTTTTTTTTTAATTCTTCATATACTTTGGATATTAGCTCTCTATGAGATGTGGAGTTGGTAAAAATCTTTTCCCATTCTGTAATTGCTGCTTTGTCCAAAAGATGGTGTCCTTTGCCACGCAGAAGCTTCTCGGTTTCACGAGGTCCCATTTATTCATTGTTGATCATTGTGCTTATGCTAGCCCACTCTTAATCCTCTCTGGTGTTTCTGTCACAGGCACCTGCCCCCAGCACAGCAAACGTTTTTTGAAAGCGTTAACCAAAGAGAAACTTTTGGAAGCCAAACACTCAGGACCAAGACTGTGTGTTGACTTGAGCATGACCCAGCACATGTCAAAGAAGGTAGACTATTGAGAGCCTGAGGGAGGCATGGAAGGGAGCAGTCTTTGTGAAGGGATGACCATCGCCAGCTTCTGTGGCTCTCTAGTAATCCAGAAGGGTATGGTTTTCTATTCTCCGTGACCAAGTTCCACGGTGACTTTGGAAAGGAACATGTGTTCTTTGGTTTATTTTGCAGTTTGTCTTCTCCTTTGAGTCTCCCACTCTGGCCTTGATGTTTTCTGGGTGGACCCTTGCCGGTTCAGTTCTCCAGACACTAAGTCTTTGTCCTTCTGCTTAGAAGAGAAATACTAGTTTGGCTGCCTGTTGTGGGGAGGGTTCCTGGTGGGAGGTCTTTGCAGTGTTTATATTTTAGTTATTTCTCGTTATTTCCTCTAATGAGGGAGGGATTTACCCTGTTGGGTTCTGGAGATGACTGAACTCATGCCACATGATCCGGACAGATGAGACTGACAGCAGTGTGTTAGTCTCATGGACTCACAGCCTAGGAAGGAGAATATGGCATGCTTCACAAAGCCACATGGGATTATACTTGGGAAGAGAAAGCAATGGGCTGGCTTTGTAGCATCAAGGGCGAGATGTCCCCCATGTCCCAGTGGACAATATGGTTGACTTGTTTGGATGGTTTCACCGGCTGCTCGGGGGCAAAGAGGAATAAACAGGAACTGTGCCTCATTCACTCGATTAGAAAGGCTTTTTAGCTGGGGGCACTTGTTTCATTCGGAAAGGCAGACTGCAGGGGAGCTTGGATTTGGCTTTTGAGTCATCTCAGTTGTGCCAGAAGTCAAACCTGCACATAATACTGGGCCTGAATTTGAGGCCTTACACCATAGTGAATCTTATTTCAGGCATCACTTTATGTGTGCTAATGGTACATGTTTCTCAGAGAAAATAGGAGGACTGCATCTTTAAGGTTCTCCGCAGAACCTCTAACTGTAGCCTTCCAAAAAGTGAGCAATGTCCGGAAGGTGGTGGTGGCACGCCTTTAATCCCAGCACTTGGGAGGCAGAGGCAGGCGGATCTCAGCCTGGTCTACAAAGCAAGTTCCAAGACAGCCAGAGCTGTTACACAGAAAAGCCCTGTTTCGAAAAACAGAGGGAAAAAAAGTGAACAAAGAGGCAGGGTGTGATGGGACATGCTTTTAATCCCAGGTCTGTGGAGGCAGAGGCAGCAGCCATGAACAAGACAAAACATGAACAAGGCAGTCTCCCTTTATATTAGCTGGGAGAGCAGATCAAATCAAACCCAACGCCTGTTACACCTTTTAATCAGTATAGCACAAATCAAGCTAAATTATGAAACAGCTTTCTAGGATTGCAGGGGAAAGTTTAAACTTTAACACACTGTGGCATCTCTTAAAGTTAGGGCGATGGTGCCAGATGTACCCAATGGAGCACAAAAGTGTTGCTACTCTAGCCTTTTTAAATAAATACTGAACATAGTAAAAAACTTTAGATAAAAGCAGAAGCAATCTTTCCAAATATCATTAAATATACAATGGCAGAGTTAGCAGGAGGAATTCTCAGATTTTGCACTCAGAAGTATTTCCGGACTAGCACCGTGTCTTAACCCTGGTCTGTGTGTGTGATGTCATGGAGTATAACACCTCTCCATGTGCTATTTCCTGGAGTAAAGGGGGCCAGGCTAGTTCATGTGGGTCTTACGGCGCAGCATGCACAGGGTGACTGCTGCGGACCAGAGCTAGTAGGCTGGCGGGAGCTGTCCCTCTTGTTCTGCTGAGTTGTCCTCATCGCTTCACAGGAACTGAGCAGGTTGGCTGCACAGATCCGAAGGTTGTATGGTTCAAACAAAAAAGCCAGCAGGCCCTTTTGGATCTGCCTCACTGGATTCTCAACCGACAGTCCCCTCTATGAAGAGTGTCTGAGGATGAATGATGGATTTTCTGCATACTTGGTAAGAATCCTTTGACCCCTGAACTGTCTGAAAGTGCTCCTGTTCTAGTAGGAAGATTTTACTCTTCCATTCTGTGATGTGCAGCTTGCTCTCTACCTGTGACTTTCACATCCACACATTTAATTGCATCTGTATTGCATCTGCTTATTCTTTTATTTAGTGTGTGTATATGTGTATCCCGTGGCATAAATACAGAGGTCAGAGGACAATGAGAATTGTTCTCTTTTTCCGCCATATGGGTCCTGGGATAAGACTCAAGTCAGGCTTGATGGCTAGTGTCTTTTTACCCACTGAGCTGTCTTACCCCCAGCTTAACCATAGTTTAAAAAAAAAATTGCATCTGTAGTGAACACATCCTTTTTTATTGTCATGTATTCTCTACAATACAATATAACTGGGTGTGGTGGCTCACGCCTGTAACCCCGCACTTCAGAGACTGAGACAGAAGACTGTCAAATCTGAAGCTGGCCTGAACTGCATAGTGAGTCCTAGGCCTTTGTGAGACCCCTGTCTCCAAAACCAGTAAACTAAAAATACAGCGTAAGAACTGTTTATGTGTCCTGGGTGTTAAGATAGTCTAGAGATGGTGTAAAGTCTTCAGGAGCATCTAGCTTAATTGTAAACCCTGGCATTTTTATAAGAGACTTGAGCATGCTTAGATTTCGGTGTCTGTGGGACCATCTTGGAACCAGTCCCATGGGTGCTGAGGGCAGTGCAGTGTCTGAATGGAAATGTGTGTTTACTGTTGCCCTCTAAAAAGTCCCAGATTCTTGCCTTAGTTCTTGTGTTGCATTTTTCTCGTTCTTGCCCTGCCTTGGCAAACTGATATTCCCAGTGTCTAGGACTGTGTTTTACACCCTGTCTAGTTCATACTAACCCACTTCCTCGTAATGTTTTTGGGAAACAGTCATGGAGAGGCAGGAAACATGGTTGTTAGAAGAAAGAGAAATGCCATTTTTAGAAGCCTTGTGGCTTTACGGTGTCTTTTAGGAAGAACTACAGGACTTCCCATCTCTGTGCTAAGGAGCTCATAAAGGTAGCAGCTTATGGAATGTCACTAAAAATGCCCCTTGGTGCCGCTGTGTAACCTGGACTAAGTTATTGCAGCCTTCCCTGGTGGAGCCCCAGAAGCTATAGGTGTGAGGTGTCTTGTGTGGGGCTGCACACTAGCTGTCTCTCCTGTGTCCTGTGTTCCTGTCTGAGGTGATTTCCTTTGCTTTGAGTTTCTTTCACATTTGTCGACCTCCCCTCTTCCCAGAAACCGGGCTCTAGTATTCCTCTCACTGGAAAACCCTCCCTAGTGTGGAACTCCCGCACCTGTAGTACTGGCGTGTGCTCCCTGTCCTTCTGGGAGCCCTGGCCACTTTCTGTCTCATTTCCGTGGTTTGTGTCTGTGCTTGTGTGTTTGTCTGTTTGTTTCAGCTAAGCACTTTGCAAGAATCTTTCAGACCTGCAGCTCCCAGGACAGTGGAGCTGTGCCCGAGAAGCACTAGATGCCCAGGAACTGTGTGAGTGTGCACCATGCTGTCCTAACACCACCCCACCTGTGCGCTAATCTCTGTGTTCCAGCTAGATGTGACAGAAGAAGACTGCTTTAGTTTATTTCCTCTGGAAAGCCTTGTGTACCTGACTCCCGACTCAGAACGGGGTAAGTACCTTCTCTGCCCACCTGACTTCATGGACGACTTTGTTCCTCGTTTTTTGTTTCATCATCATTGGTACTCACTCCATCCAAGAGAACGGGGGAGGAGAAACTGGGGGGATGGGCAGATACCCAGTGCTGTCAAGGTTAGTCCCATCTCCAGTTGGACTCTGTGTGTGTGTGTTTATAACATATATTTAAATATATATTAAAAACAGTGTTCTCTATATATGGGTGTGTGTGTATATATATATATATATACATACACATACATACATATACATTACACACTCTCACACACACAGAATATCCTGTCTGACATAGTTTTCACACTTGCTAGTATTAGGTTGGTCGTGGTCCTCTCATATTTCCTCACGTTTCTCTGCAGTTCTGGTCCTGCTTCCTTCCTAACAGTGTCGCTTTGAGCACACACACGCATTTTCACATCTGCTGTCTGCTCTGTCATCAGAGGATTAGCTTTTGTTGTTTTGTATCAACATTGGTGATATTTCTTTTCTTTTTCTTTCTTTGGATTTAGAAATTATAAAACAAATTTGATCTCAGTGGCCTTCATTTTTTTCATTAGCCCTTGAAGACGTTGATCAGAACACGGTTTACGTCATTGGTGGACTTGTAGATGAAAGCATTCAGAAGGTAAATATACATTTTAGCCCCGTTGTTATCTTACCCAGAAGGCCTAGCCCTGTTCCCTGCATGGGAACAGGAAGAGCTTGTTCCTAGAACACCCTCCTACCTGGAGGTGCCCCTTCTCCTCGGGTCGGCCTTCAGAAGCAGAACCTGAAGTCAGAGTAGACATTCTTGGTGATGTAGACACAGCCATTTTGCTTCTTCTCTTCTTTCTGCCAGGATGGCTCTGATCCTGGCTTAGCACTTTTCCATACTTGGTTCTCTGGGAGAGATGGTTAGCTTCTTCTAGGCTTTCTTACTGGTGTGAGAGTCGTATTCCCACAGGATCTCAAATCAGTAGAACTGTCCAAGCTTCTTCTTCTTTTTTTTTTTTTTTAAAAATTTAGTTAGCTTTATTTTTTGTGGATTGGTGTGAAGGTATCAGATCCCCAGAAACTGGAGTTACAGACAGTTGTTAGCTGTCATGTGGGTGCTGGGAATTGAACTCGGGTCCTCTGGAAGAACAGCCAGTGCTCCTACCTGCTGAGCCATCTCTCCAGCCCCCCAGATACCCTCTTCTGACCAGGCATGCACATGGTGACGACAGACATACATATGAGCAAAACATTAATATCCATAAAATAAAAAATAAAGCCTGATTTATTTTTTATTTTATGGATATTAATGTTTTGCTCATATGTATGTCTGTCGTCACCATGTGCATGTGAAGAGGGTATCAAATCCCCTCGAACTATAGTTATAGATTCTTGTTAGTCGCCTATAGGTACTGGGAATCAAACCCAGGTCCTCTCTAAAAACAGCAAATGCTCTTAACCGCTGAGCCATCTGTCCAGCCCCTTGTTCAGGTGTCTTTTGTTGAATTGGAGCTTCATTGGAATAATTAAACTGTTACTGAAGTTTTAATTTTTGTTTCTATTATACAAATATTAATTTTTTGCTTCTGTTCACTAATTAGCATACATTAAAAAGACATAATAGTTTACATTTGCAGAAAGGAACATAGTGAGAAATAAGTGTCCATCCCACCTTGGACCCCTCAACTCACAAGGCGCCATGGTTTACTTTTCTTAGGTATATTTGTTGGTATGTTTTACCTGTGCTTATCATGTATGTAGAAGTATTTTGTGGGGCTGGAGAGATGGCTCAGTGGTTAAGAGCGTTGTCTGCTCTTCCAAAGGTCCTGAGTTCAATTCCCAGCAACCACATGGTGGCTCACAACCATCTGTAATGAGGTCTGGTGCCCTCTTCTGGCCTTCAGGCATACACGCAGAAAGAATATTGTATACATAATAAATAAATAAATAAATAAATAAATAATTTTTTAAAAAAAGAAGTATTTTGTGTGAGACAGACATATATGAAGCACATGTTTAACACAGATGATACTTAGTTTTAAAACTAAGTACAGGGGGCTGGAGAGATGGCTCAGTGGTTAAGAGCATTGCCTGCTCTTCCAAAGGTCCTGAGTTCAATTCCCAGCAACCACATGGTGGCTCACAACCATCTGTAAAGAGGTCTGGTGCCTTCTTCTGGCCTGCAAACATACATACAGACAGAATATTGTATACATAATAAATAAATAAACATTTAAAAAAAAAACTAAGTACAGCTAAGTATTTGAAATTAAGTCTTCTGCCGAGGCCGGTTAAACACTTATGCACTTAATCCAGATCTCTGTGACTTCAAGGCCAGCCTGGTCTTGAGAGCAAGTTCCAGGATAGCTAGAGCAACACAGAGAAACCCTGTCTTGAAAAAACAAAACAAAACTAAGTGTTCCTTTGTGTCATAATAATAATATAAATAATAAAAAGGAGCAGTGGTCTCCTACAGAAGTCTGCTAATAGGAATTAGGAAGACATTGTTTTTGTTGCTCCCAGTGTAGTCAATGGTTCAGGCAGTGAATTAAGTGAAGCCATTACCAGCTATCTGAGGTACATACTCCGTGTGCCCTGGCAGAGTACCAAGGCACAGTGTACCATTCCAGTGAAGCCATTGTTGGTTATCATCATCTCCAAATTTGATGAGCCTGAGTATCACTAGGAGAGACATTCTTTCTCCTGGTGTGCTACTCTTTCCTGTCAAGAATTCTTGCTCAAAATTTGAAAAATGTAAATTTAATCATGAGGAAACAAGAAGTCTAGGATGGGACATTCTGCAAGACAATGGACGCTCCAAAAAGCCACTGTAGTAGAGACTAAAGCAAACGGGTTGTTTTAAAAGAATGTAGAAAATAACACATTGTTAAATACAGTGACGTGTCTATGGCCCCATCTGCCTGGGAGCCCGTGGCAGGAGAATCCTGCCTGTGGATTGAGCTCTCTTACATGAAAACCTGTCAAGTGCACTGTGGACACCTTGACTGGATTATAGACTAGGGGAAAGATTTAGAAGAGACATCAGGGAGACTTTAATAGTATGGTTGTGTGTTAAATAATCTTACAGGATTTTCAGAAATGAAAAAGAAGTAGTGTATTAAAGGAGACCGCCATTGCTCTCCGTGAAATGCTAATTGTTAGATGTCTGTGCTCACTTTCAGGCAAATCTGGTAATGTTAGCTGGCAGATGAAGATGGCAGGAATGGGAATTAATTTAATGAGTCTCTGAGATTTCTTAGATTTGAGATTTTAAAAGAAACAGTTGAGAATGGGGAAGAGCTATTGCAGAGGCAAGGATCACACTCACCTTCTGCCTTGTCACATCCTCCTGAGACAGGCAGGTGGCTTCCTGGCGGCCACGAATGGGGTGTACTGTTCGGGTGTGTAATTTGAGTACATTGTCCTCCCTTATCTTTCTGCCAACAAAAGTAGCAATGTGTAGGAATTCTCAATGTTGGCGGTGTCCATTACAATGAACGTCTTCATGTATAATTTTTTTTTAATTTTAAATTTATTTATTTATTAAAGATTTCTGTCTCTTCCCAGCCACCGCCTCCCATTTCCCTCCCCCTCCCCTAATAAAGTCCCCCCCCCTCAGCCCGAAAAGCAATCAGGGTTCCCTGTCCTGTGGGAAGTCCAGGGAACCCCCCACCTCCATCCAGGTCTAGTAAGTTGAGCATCCAAACTGCCTAGGCTCCCACAAAGCCAGTACGTGCAGTAGGATCAGAAACCCATTGCCATTGTTCTTGAGTTCTCAGTAGTCCTCATTGTCCGTTATGTTCAGAGAGTCCGGTTTTGTCCCAGGCTTTTCCAGACCCAGGCCAGCTGGTCTTGGTGAGTTCCCAGTAGAACATCCCCATTGTCTCAGTGTGTCTTAGAGTATTACTCAGCAGTAAGAAACAAGGACTTCTTGAATTTTGCATACAAATGGATGGAAATAGAAAACACTATCCTGAGTGAGGTAAGCCAGACACAAAAAGAGGAACATGGGATGTACTCACTCATATTTGGTTTCTAGCCATAAACCAAGGACATTGAGCCTATAATTAGTGATCCTAGAGAAGCTAAATAAGGAGAACCCAAAGAAAAACATATAGGCATCCTCCTGAATATTAACCTTCAGCAAGCGATGAAAGGAGACAGAGACCCACATTGGAGCACAGGACTGAATTCTCAAGGTCCAAATCAGGAGCAGAAGGAGAGAGAGCACGAGCAAGGAACTCAGGACCTTGAGGGGTGCAATCATGTATAATTTTTATAGTAAGAAAATTTAATTTACAGAAGGTGACATTCCAAAAAGCTCGAGAACACTCTGTGAAGACAGCCCGCTTGCCAATCCAGGAATACATGGTCAGGCGCCAGAATGAGAAAAACTATCATTCAGAAATACTGGCCATCAATCAAGGTACTGCTCACATCATCCAACCCAACATGTTTTTTGTTTTTGTTTTTTTTCTGGCCATTTACTAGTCTTTTTTCTTGGCTGGTCACTATGTTTTCTGTGTATTCAGACTGCTGCTTTGCTTGCTTGCTTGCTTCCTTCCTTCCTTTCTTCTTTCTTTCTTTTTTTTTTTTCTTTTTGTAGCTTTGGGGCCTGTCCTGGAACTTGCTCTGTAGAACAGGCTGGCCTAGAATTCACAGAGATCCACCTGCCTCTGCCTCCCGTGTGTGCCAGTACCGCCCAGCTTGCTGCTTTGCTTTGCCTCTTGACTCAGTCTCCTGTGACTCATGTACCTAGATTCTCCTTCCTGTACTTGCTGGCAGGCATCTGGCCACTGAGAGGCATTCCTCATTTTTTTGTTCCTGGCTGAAAGGATCCTTTGCCTAGAATGCCCTGCTGTCTGCTTTCATTGGCCAGTATCTTCAGTTAGCGGCCTCTTGCCTGCCTTTCCTCCCACTGCAGGCCTCATCAGCCCCTTGCTTGTGTTCCCATGGTGGTGCCTTCCTCTGTTGCAGAGTTATTGTAGCATGGAGGGCCGGCTTGTTGGGGTTTCTGTCCCGCCTGGTACCCCATAGCCAGCAAGTCCCAAAGAAAATCACACAGAAATCTCCTTAAATTATAAAACTCATTGGTTCATTAGTTCAGGCTTCTTGTTAACTCTTGTAGTTTATATTAACCCATTGTTCTTATCTATGCTAGCCACATGGCTTGGTACCTTTCACAGGGGGGCAGGTCACATGTTGCTTCTTCGGTCGTCTGGGCTGGGCTGCAGGAATGGGCTTCCTTCTTCCCAGAATACTCCTGTTCTCATCACTCTGCCTCTACTTTCTCTCTGGTTGACCTGCCTATACTTACTGCCTGGCCAATCAGCATTTATTAAAACATGATTGACAGAATACAGACAATTCTCCTGTACCAAGTTATCTCTTCACAAGCCTTTCCTCTCAGTGTGTACGCAGGCAGGGCCTTCTCTCTTCCCATCATCTACCACCACATAACTCGAGGACACCGGGCCGGTGAAACATTCCACAACACTCTTTTCCACATTAGTCCTTCACTCATCTGTCCTCCTGTTTCCCTCCAACAGTGTTTGATATCCTGTCCACTTACTTTGAGACTCACAGCTGGCCTGAAGCACTGAAGAAAGGAGTTTCTCCAGGCAAAGGCTACATTCTTCGGAATCCAGTGGATGATGGGCAGCGTAAGATTCCAGATGGAGTGGGTGAAGCACCAAAGGTGTCCTGACCAAAGGACAGGGTAAAGGGTGGCAGTGACACACACCTGCCTTTATGTGTTGTCTCTGAAAGCCTTTGATGGCAAGGACCACATGTTTATGCTTTGTGTCACCTACAGTGCCTGGAAATTACAGTGCTCACTGGAAATGTCCTGATAAAACATAATATTATGGCTTTTAAAAAAAAAGTTTATGAAGGAATTGTCAAAATACATGGCATTTTGGATGTTAATTCATGTTTTGTACATTGAGCTTTGTGAAATGTCTACCTTTTAGAGATGTTGTCAGGGCTTTTTACTGAACTTGGATAAAATTACTTTTCTCTCACCTCTGTATGTGAGGATTCTTCACCAGCGGGCACATGTGCACATCAGCTTTGCTGTCTCAGCTGGGCAGGCCCTTCCTGACATTCTTTCCTGTGGCTCTCTCTCATTATGGTCACCAAGTGCTCCTCTCTTCTCGTCTGTATAGCTTTGCCTAGCCTTCTGAGCCTCACACAAACCAAGAGCTTTACACAAACATACACCCCAGATCTAGTCAAAAAGCAAACATGTAGTTATTGTTAAATCCAGCAGAGAGCAGCCGGGAAGGAATGCTGTATTCTGACACACAAGCACACTCACCCACTATCTGTTATACAGACAGATAAAACTGTTACTGTAACCCATTTTGGGTTAACTTGAAAGTCAAGCTGCTAACAAATTCAGATGTTTTCTGCTTCTCAAAAGAACCAAAAGGACCTCTCAGCCTACTTCCTTCTCTTTTCCCAGTCAATCCCTTGGGAACTATTTCTTGATATATATACGTTATTACTGAAAATAGGCGTCCTCAGAGAACCCCTTAAGTTTTCATACGGGATGGGCCACAGCCACATAGGCTTCAGGGGTGCAGAATTCATGCTCAGGCCTGAAAACCCAGAACCACTTAACTCATATCACTTGCCAGTCTACATTTTTTATCTCATAACATAAACAGCATAGAATTTTCTCTCTGACCCAAGTCCAAACCTCTCCTCTTTATCTAAAACCTGGAGCATGTATTTTTTTTTTTAAGATTGTGGTAACTGATGTTAACTAACATTTGGCTAGAATAGGATCAGAAATCCTCATCATATTATTTAAGAAAAAAACTGAAGACATAAAAATGTTAAGTTACAACATCCTATAACTTCAGTTTTAAAAACATAAAACACACAGTGGTTAAGCCTTGGGCCGTGTGACTCCCTGAGCTTCAGTATGAGGATTGCGGTCTTCTGCGTTGCCAGGGATGAGCTAATGGTGTAAAAACACTTGGAACTTTTCAACAAGGTCAGTATGTGAGTATGAGCTCTTAAGGATTCATAACAGCTGGCTTATGGGTTACAGATGGATTTCCCTCTGGCAGATAAGTTTACTATTATAACAATTTTAATGTTGAGTTATAGCTCACTATAGAAGCTGTACTATATATACATCAGTTCCCTACAGAACTAAGGGAGGTAACTTCAAACAATGCTATATACAAAATTTATTATATAAAAGTTTATAATTTTCTTATCTATATATGAGTGAAGACCAGTAACTCTTAGAAAAATATTTTATTGTATTCTAGTAAGACAATATGCATCATCTAGAGATCTGACAGGAAGCGATTCATCTGAAAAAAAGATTTCCCCAGGAAACAGTCTTGACTAAAATGAGCCATTAAAGGTGCTCTGTCAACTCTCTGCCAATCTGGCAAAGATTTGTCTCCTTTGATCTGTTGTCATGTGTTCACAAGCTTCTAAGACATTCGCCAAAATTAAAGTCTGCTGAATGGTTTTTGCCTTGACCCATATTCTTCCATTCATTCCAAACACAATCTCCAATGGATAGAGTTTTCCCAGCTCTTGCACGATTTCACAGTCTGGAGCTAATAACCTGTAGGAAAGACAGACAAGAAAGTTTAATGAAGCAGTTGGACATGTTGAGGCTCTGCTAAGGAGACTCTTTCTCTGGGTAGTTCTTTGTGGTCATTCAAAGCCCCTCAGCATTGTACCCAAAACAAGGCACACGATGCCATCTGATGCCCCATTTCTTGTGCCACCCTCCCCCAGCCCTTTTTTATTTGAAGATGAAATCTAGCTAGGTTACTTAAACTAGTCTCAGATTTGTAGATCTGAGAACTGTCCTGCCTTCCCAAGTAGCTGGGACTACAGGAATATACCACTGTGCCCAGCTCAATGCCCCATTTCTTCCAAGAACCTTTTACTTTTCAGGCACACCAGAGTGTACAGTCATGTCGCCAATGTTGTATAACATATAAATGTATAAAGTCTCTTTCCCCTGAACACCTTAATTCTAAGACTTGAGGATCATAGCTTATTTTGGGGGGCAGGAAGCAGTGGTGGCACACACCTTTAATTCCAGCACTTAGAAGGCAAAAGCTGACAGATCTTTGAGTTCAAAACCAGCCTGGTCTACAGAGTGAGTTCCAGGACAGCAGGGCTACATAGAAACCCTGTCTCAAAACAACAACAACAAAAAGAGGGCACACAAACTTGAGGGAGATACAGACTTAGGGGTAGCAGGACAGGCAGAGGAGGAAGGTAGGAAAGGATTGTGGGACAAGTTACAGGAGAGATGGAGAGTGAGAATGAGCAACAAAACACACTGTATGAAATTCTCAAAAGAACTAGTAAACTTTTTTTTCCTTTTTTTTTGGCTTTTTGAGACAGGGTTTCTCTGTGTAGCTTTGGAGTCTGTCCTGGAGCTTGCTCTGTAGACCAGGCTGGCCTCGAACTCACAGAAATCCGCCTGTCTCTGCCTCCTGAGTGCTGGGATTAAAGGCGTGAGTTATCACTAGCAGGCTAAAATATATATATATATATATATATATATATATATTTTTTTTTTTTTTTTTTTTTTTTTTTTTTTTGGTTTTTTGAGACAGGGTTTCTCTGTGGCTTTGGAGCCTGTCCTGGAACTAGCTCTTGTAGACCAGGCTGGTTTCGAACTCACAGAGATCCGCCTGCCTCTGCCTCCCAAATTTTCATTAAAGCAGTGCAGTTAACCGGTATAACTTTCTTTTTCCTAATTTATTTAATTTTTTTCCATATTTATATTGAGCTCTACATTTTTCTCTGCTCCCCTCCCTGCCTCTCCCCTATCCCCTTCAACCTTCCCCCATGCTCCCAATTTACTGAGGAAATCTTGTCTTTTTCTACTTCCCATGTAGATTAGATCTATGTAAGTCTCTCTTAGTGTCCGCATTGTCTAAATTCTCTGGGATTGTGGTTTGCAGGTTGGTTTTCTTTGCTTTATGTTTAAAAAACCACCTATGAGTAAGTACATGTGATAATTGTCTTTCTGTGTCTGGGTTACCTCACTCAAAATAATGTTTTCTAGTTCCATCCATTTTCCTGCAAAATTCAAGCTGTTGTTATTTTTTTCTGCTATATAGCACTCCATTGTGTAAATGTACCACTTTTTTTTTTTTTATCCATTCTTCGATCAAGGGGCATTTAGGTCGTTTCCAGGTTCTGGCTATGACAAACAAAGCTGCTATGAACATAGTTGAGCACATGTCCTTGTGGCACGATTGAGCATCCTTTGGATATATACCTAAAAGTGGTATTATTGGGTCTTGAGGAAGGTTGTATAACTTACTTTCTAATTAAGCCCAAAGTCACTTTGAAGAGCAGACCGTCCTGTCCAATCACACCCATTCCATTGGCCCGTCCACAGCTGTCAATACAGACCATCTCTGGTTCCATGTCTTTATTAGCAACCACACACTGGCCATAGATGAGATCTCCAACCTATAAGGTTAAAAGAGAAGTAAGTTCTCTTTCCTTCATCATATATCCTATAGGTGCTGTGCTGGTTCTGTTCTGTGGGCAAGAATGCCAGCAGGCCACAGTTCTCAAGCTAAGGGACCAGTGATATTACTTTCAAGTTGAGTCCTCCCTTCATAACCATGAAATCCTCCAGCAAGAGCCATTTCAAGGACTAAGAACACCCTTCAAAATTGCACTAAAAAAAAAAGGCCGGGTGATGGTGGCGCACGCCTTTAATCCCAGCACTCGGGAGGCAGAGGCAGGCGGATCTCCGTGAGTTCGAGACCACCCTGGTCTACAGAGCTAGTTCCAGGACAGGCTCCAAAGCCACAGAGAAACCCTGTCTCGAAAAACCAAAAAAAAAAAAAAAAAAAAAATCAAAATTGCACTGTCCAAATTATATGTGGTTTAATTTAAATTTATAGGGGCTGGAGAGATGGCTCAGTGGTTAAGAGCATTGCCTGCTCTTCCAAAGGTCCTGAGTTCAATTCCCAGCAACCACATGGTGGCTCACAACCATCTGTAAAGAGGTCTGGCACCCTCTTCTGGCCTTCAGGCATACAGACAGAATATTGTATACATAATAAATAAGTAAATATTAAAAAAAATTTATATTTAACCTTGTATCTAATTAAGACATACAAAATTCAGTTCCTCATTGCATTAGCTACTTTTCAGCTGTTCAACAGCCACACGTAACTAGCAATAACTAGCAGTCAGTGCAGATACAAAAACTAAACCTGGTGTCATTGGAGAATGTTCTATCAGTACTACTTACAAAAGTTACATATTTGACCAGAGGAAGGAAAAACTCTTGACATCCATATTCAAAATAAAATGGGACAGTGGTAATTCACAGATGCTACTTCATGGAAGATTTGCTTTATACTTACAAAACCCAACTTTAAAATGATGAAGCTAAGAAACAATGAATTTGTTCTCTTCACTCAACATTAAAACACTCACAGTTGAGAGCTGGAGAGCTGGCTCACAGGCTACGAGTACTGTTGCTCCTGCAGAGGGTCCAGGTTAGCACCCTCCTAGCAACTCACAACCAGTCATAACTCAAGTTTTAGGGAAACTGATTTTCTTGTCTGACCTCCACAAGCAGCAGTTACAGTGGGCAAATACATACATGGAGCCAAAACACTCTCAATATGTATACATTAAAAAGTACCCACTGTTTAGGGTAACTACAAAACCTAGAGAGAATCATAACACACTTTATGGCTTTCAGGAACACATGGTCTTGCATGGGGCAATGAGAATGAATAAACTCACAAGTGCAAGAATAAATCCAGTGCTATGGTGAAGATACAGGAAAGTGATGATAATGAATGACTTGACAGAGTCACCTCAAAGGATGGGTGTCTCCCAGGGTGAGGAGACGCTGCAATCCAGACAGGACCATCATGAATAAAGACCCCGGAAGGAAACAAAGTTCAGTGGTGCTGAGAAGCTTGAGCACCGTTACAGGAAGTGCACTAGTATGAGGGCAGACCCCTGGAGCACAGTGCCAGTAAATGCTGTA